GGACGATTCGCACTCTATGGGCGGTCACTCCGCCGATGGAGTTTCTTACCCTTCACCCAAACTTCACCGCCCTTGATCAAATGTGCCAACCACCAAGTGTATCACCTTGTGCACATGTGTTAGCATATTTTCACAAACATTTTCAAGGGTGTTAGCATTCCGCTAGATCCTAAATGCATATGCAATGAGTTGGAGCATCTAGTGGCACTTTGATAACCGTATTTCGATACGAGTTTCACCCCTCTTAATAGTACGCGCTATCGATCCTAAATGTAATCACACTCACTAAGTGTCTCGATCACAAAAACAAAATAGCTCCTACCATTTATACCTTTGCCTTGAGCCTTTTGTTTTTCTCTTTCTTCTTTTCCAAGTTTAAGCATTTGATCATCACCATGCCATCACTATCGTCATGATCTTCGCCATTGCTTCATCACTTGGAGTAGTGCTACCTATCTTATAATCACTTTGATAAACTAGGTTAGCACTTAGGGTTTCATCAATTAACCAAACCAAACTAGAGCTTTCACCGAGACGACGAGGGTGAGAGTGAGGAAAGATGAGAGCGGCGCTGCGGGATAAAATAAGCTAGGGTTGGGGTGAGGGAGAGCCGTCATGGCGTGCCGGCTTATATATGAGGGGGAGGCGGGGAGTGCGTGGGCCGTGGGGGCTGGGCCTTGGGGAGGAGAGGAGGACTGAGGATGGGGAGGCCGGGAGGGGGGAGGCTAGGCGTGGCTGGCCGACATTGTTGAAGAAGCTGCTTATACCAAGCCACCACACAGTTCGAGGCTGCAATGCCCAGTACACGACTTGCTCCCTCAGTCGGGCCAGCCCGGCCCGGCCGACCATCGGGTCGTGGCTGTGTTGGTCCGGGGCCAAAATTATGTTTTCAGTGGTTCAGGCCGTGCCACGGGCTGCATGGACATTTATACAACCAAATGTTCAATCTAGGCGCTCGATGCAACTTGGGGTTTCTTCTCCAATTTTCGTTGCATGTTTATTTTCTAGTATCTATATATGCACCATAATATAAGAAGAGGCGACACGTCTGTCCCTAGCGAGAGGCTAAGTCTTCGTAAATATTTTATAGGCATGTGTTAGTATTAGTATAGGTTATATATCTATAGTGCACTATAACGATGTGTGTTGATGTAAGTGTCTGTATGTTTAGTTATACGTTCAGACACTACAACATATACTACCAGATCTGAGGAGTAAAAAAGAGCCATGTGATATGCGGCCCTTGGCTTCCAAGATCATTTTGTCACCAAGGCAAAAGGAAGATAGGAGAAAAGAAAAAGATGTGAAGAAGGAGAAAAGAATAAAAAGGCGAAGGAACAGGCATACATTCGACTTTAAAAATGACTTAAGACTACATAGGATATAGGTATGTTTGGCAGTAAGAAACGTTTCATATTTTCAGTAGAACAATTAAAATTGCTGGTAAACACCACGAAGAGAGAAAATGTTTCTTGAAGAATCACTTGGAACAAATTCTCATTTATGTATTATTTTAGAGAAATATCCAAAACTTGGTTTCTTTTGATTATAGTAATAGTTTTAAGGATCCAATGAGCTAGTTAAACAATTTCGAAGTAATTATAATTCATTGGAGAAACATTTCTAAAGGGAACCTAGATCTCTATGAGAATCTAGAACACTGCCAAACATGACCTTAGTTTCATGCGTGAAGCGATTCTATGAGGTAACTAATTACGTACTCCCTGTGTCCTATAGTACAATACATTCTAAAAATCTGAAGATAGCTTTATGTGTCCATAGATTAAGCCCAATTAAAAAGTTTTTTATTTGAACCATGGTTTCCTTTTAAGAAAGCTCTACCAAATTTGAGCCTGGGCACCATAAGAATATCTTATATTTCAATACAAATTTTGAAAGTCATAATGCATTGTATTCTAGGACAAATAGAGTATACTAAAGCGATTCTTTACAGTATAATTTTTGAAAGTTATAATACATTATATTCTAGGATAGAGGAAGTAAGCAAACTTGGTTTCTTTTGATTATAGTAATAGTTTTAATGATCCAACGAGCTAGTTAAACAATTTCGAAGTAATTATAATTCATTGGAGAAACATTTCTAAAGGGAACCTAGATCTCTATGAGAATCTAGAACACCGCCAAACATGACCTTAGTTTCATGCGTGAAGCGATTCTATGAGGTAACTAATTACGTACTCCCTGTGTCCTATAGTACAATACATTCTAAAAATCTGAAGATAGCTTTATGTGTCCATAGATTAAGCCCGATTAAAAAGTTTTTTATTTGAACCATGGTTTCCTTTTAAGAAAGCTCTACCAAATTTGAGCCTGGGCACCATAAGAATATCTTATATTTCAATACAAATTTTGAAAGTCATAATGCATTGTATTCTAGGACAAATAGAGTATACTAAAGCGATTCTTTACAGTATAATTTTTGAAAGTTATAATACATTATATTCTAGGACAGAGGAAGTAAGCAAAAGCGATAAACCCTATAGAGAGAGACATGAATATGAATAATAAGAATTCTAACACCTTAGTTGATTTTTGGGAACCACTCTAGTAGGTGTAGGTCCAGTGTGGTGTCGATAAAGACAAGGTGAGTGGTCTCCATCTTTCACGGTGAAAGTCTTCCTTTAGGGTACTTATTACTACTTCGAAGCGTGGTGTTCTTTTTTTTATTAAAGTTGAAATTTCAGTTACGTCCAATTTGCATCTTGCATTTAATTCATTTGAGAATCAACACATATCTTAGATCCTCAATTAAATTTGATTTCAAGATTTCGGTCTAAAGGTTTTTTTTTTAAAATCATTTCGAGATTGACGAAATCAATCACCTGTCAAAGATTGCGGCGTGGCAGATAAAACACAGGCACACATATCCTATACCCCTATGAGGAGCTCTGAACGACTGAGACTTCAGCAGACAGATATTGATGAAATCACCAAAGACAATCGATGGGCGTTGTCTATCACTAAAATAGCAACGTTCTTAAATTCTAGAATAAATCTAGAAAAATACGAGTACCCACGTATAGTCGAGAACTTGAACTCACATAGACAAGTTCCACCATAATGAATCTAGCCAGCTAAGTTAAGCTCAGTTCTCGATTTCAAAATAAAGTCGAGTACCATTTTTTTTCATAAAACATCATATTTTTTTCCCATCAACTAGAATCTCAAATGAATCCTAGAGCCCGTTTGGATTTTCCGGCTCCTCCTTTTCTCGCTCACTGACAGCATGTGTACTGTAGCACGAATTCGTTTTTCTCTCTCCTCCTTTTCTCTCTCGCTGATGGCATGCGTACGTGCTCACGTGCAGCTAGAGACTTTGACCACTTGTGCAGATACAAAAGAATTAGGAGCGTATGTGCGTGCAGCCACGTTGTGGACATGAGCAAGAGGGCCATGCAGCCGAAGCGTCGTCGGTTGACAGCAACTGTGGATATACGTACGACTGTCCGTTCCAACAAATCACACCTGTGCGAAGATGAGAGCAAAAGAAACGGTAGTTAGGAAGCGATAAGATTCAAGCAACCTAACCAGAAATCAGCAACCATCGTACGTGTCGTTCTTGGCCTCAGATTAAGCTCCGGGTCCGGACTTTGGGTTTATCGGTGGCATTAAAGTCGGCTGATAAGTCAGTTGTAGCTGTTTTATTATGAGAAAAAAATAATGTATATTCTAACTGATAAGGTCGACTGATAAGTTCAAACAAACGAGCCTTTTATAAAAAAAAGGCTCCAGGCCCGGACGGACAGACACATGGGCATGTGCGTTTCCTTTACTTGGATGATGTTTTGTGGTACACGCAAGTCGGAACGCGGTGTGGATGAACATGCATGGCCCGTGCTTTTCTTCCCTAGTAGTGCCGGGTGAGGTGCGTCAACGTTACGAGGAAAAACAAGTGTTTATAGATAGCACGTTATCAGGATCTAGTTCCAATTTGTAACGATGAAACAAATCATGTGACATAAGATTGTAAAGAGGTTTTAGCACCTTAATTTTAGTACGCTCCTCTCCTACCACGCTGGATCTGTTCACGAGCTAGATTGTTGGCGTTTTTAGCGTCGTTTCCTTCTTGGAGGTATAGTTAGGTTTTTTCAATTCCGTTGTTGCCTCTTGCCGCCTAGCCATGGCGGTGGTCCAAGCTGTGTTGGTGTTGCCTGACAGATTGCAGTGTGTTGTTCCGACCATGTTGAATTACTAGTTGGGTCGATTCGACCAATTAAAGCCAGTAGTAGCAAGAGTTCTCATAGTTGTTCGGTCATTGTACTGAAGTTGTGCAGGATAAGTGGAGCACTCTTCTCAGTTGTATGATTTTTAGGTGTAATTTCTATTTAAAAAAAATAATTAGGCTGACACTTGCCTTTTTTCTTTCGTTGTCTAATAAAAATCACGGTAAAACTTTTGCAATCCTTTCTAAAAAAAAATTCTAGTACGGCTACTAAATAGTAGAAATTACAGCCAACACATGATTACAACTCATGTGCAGTATAAATGTAATTTCAATGTAAACCAACTGGTATAAGCAAAAAAATGGTGTTGGGGCTATAAAACAATTGACTTTCCATATACTCGTCATCATAAATCATAAATCTTGGCGAAAATCTAAGATTTCGTTTTTTTCATAACATGTAGTAGGAGAAAAAAATCAATTTATATTCTACCTTCTCTACTTACGGAGTACATTATACATTTGTACTTGTATATGTAAACCATTTTTACGTGTTTGTGTACAGCGTTCATATAATCATCTTTCTCTTTTGTCCCTTCCTAAAAAAATCTTTTTCTTTTGTCCCAACGAAAAATTCATTCAATTTTCACATGTTCAGGTTTAGTATTTTCGGCTCACTTCAGCTTGGGCTCCCAGGAGGGCCTGAAACGGAATACAAAGCCCAAGGCCTTTTTTCTTCGCGAAGGGAAATGAACGCTTTCCTCTGCCCGTTGCTCGCCCATGGACCAACCAAAGCAGAGTCTACCGAGTGCCGGCCATGGCGCGTGGGTGGCGGCGGTGGCGGGAGAGGGGGCACTGCATGCGCTCCGTCTCAGCCGGCGGCAGCGGATCCAGATACCTTATGGAGAGAAGCCATGCCGAGGTCTGGAGGCCATCCTCCGTCTCGAGCTCGTCAAGGATGACTGTTGGCGCGGTGACGGACAGAGTCGGAGCGAGCGAGGAATGTCTGGTGCTCGACGAAATGCCAAGTCAAGGTATCTCAGCTCTCCTGCTTCAGGTGCAGCCTTGGCGGCTTAGCAAGTAGGCGGGGGACCTTGGGCATCATGTGCGGTTGGCATCCCCGCATCGGGTGTGCTCGATGAAATGCCAAGCAAGGAGCAGTGGCCACGGTCCATGGACCTTGGTTGCCTGGCGACTGTTTCTACGGCTTTCCATTGTTGAGATTGAGGACACCGGATTATGATCAGTTCAACAGAGCGTCTGAAGAAGAAGAACCGTGCTGCAAATGGAATTGGAGTGGCGCATGTTAGGAATTCTAGAACCTTGGGTAAATACATAATTTAGATAGGAAACTAGGTGATGTACCTCGTCCTAGATCATCGTTATCTAGAGTGGATCCTGTTAGAGTCTCCTCGTCTCAGAGTAGCAGTTGCAGTGATGGTGGTGGACTGCAGAGGCGACGGTGAAGTTGGTGAGGCTTCCCGTCGTTGGCAACACCATTCTCTTTAGATCGGATAGGATTTCTCTGTAGGTGGGTTACGGCGGTTCAGGTCAACCTTGTAGATAGAGCCCTAGCCCCCACCTCCCTTTATGGTGCTGTACGACGGGGGCCCACCAACCATGCAGCGGTTTGGTGCCTCCAATCAGGGCGCTGATCCAAGGGCCCAACTAGGCCAATTGGTAGAGATCAAACTAACATTCTCTCCCTTGATCTTATCTTATTCCTTAAACTTAACTTACTTATTTTATCTTGTTCCCATTCCATCACAGATCAGTGCATAGAGCATGCCTCATCGTCACGGTCTGTTGCCATTAAATTAAACAGCTACAACGCACCTCTCTGTTTTGAAACAGATACTCAATTAGGCTCTTAGTATCCAGAAATCATAGGCTTTCCCATAAATCCATGTCGACTGTGTGTTCTCTGAACGCACTGGGTGGTTAGCCTTTGGTAAGCGGATCCACAAGTACTCACTCGGTACTTATGTGCTCAATGCTTTTAACGTGATTCTGGATTTTCTCCTTTACAACATATATCTTAGTGTCAATGTGTTTGACAGCACACTTGATTTGTTGTCTTATGAGTTAACTTACTTTAAATTGTTATTGCTGTTGTCTACCATTATTAAATCCGGGTACAAATTCCCTTAACCTCCTTTTGTCTGTTCTTTAAGTCTCATGACAAGTTATACTATGGTATGCATCACTGATGACACCACAACTATTTCTTTGGCCCTTTTCCACAATAATACTCCAACTGCGAGTGTTAGCAACTGCTGTGGATTTCACTACACATTTTGTCAAGACTTAACTTTTTGTATCCTCAACTATTTGAGAGTATTTATTCTTTCTTACTTAGCATGAGGCCTATTATACTTTGTAAAATTGCAAGACATTCTCAACTCAATTCCAGTGATCTATATCTGAACTGGACTTCTGCCAAAATATTCCGAATACATAAACTACGTCAGGTAAGTTCTTACTTGTACTTGTACACTCATCAAGCTTCCAACAGCCGAAGCATATGGAACCATGTTCATTTGATCGATCTCATATCGGTTCCTGGAACATTTAAAGTTCTCATAATTATTACCCTTGACTATAGAAGCAGGCGTAGGTTTACTCTCATGCATACTTTATTTCTTTAAAATCTTTTCTAAGTATGCCTTTGCGATAATCCTAATACTCCATTTTCTTCTATCTCGGTGAATTTTGATTCGTAGAACCAATGCCGCTTCACCAAGATAATTTACATTAAAACTTGAGGACAAAACTTCTTCTTCTCTAATGACAGATTAACATCACTACTAGTGAGTAGAATGTCATCTATTCACAGGATGTGGAAAAATAATTTTCCATTCTTGAACTTCGTATAAACGCTATTGTCCTTCTCATTTTCTTTAAAACCCAAATTTTCTTATCGTTTCATCAACTTCAAATACTACTGTCTAAAGACATGTTTTAACCCATAAATGAATTTTTACAGGCGGCATCTCATACGTTTTTTTTCTTTCACGACAAAACCTTTGGGTTGTGCCATGTAAACGTTTTCATACAAATCCCCATTGAAGAATGCCGTTTTTACATCCATCTGATGTAACTCTAAATCGTAATGTGCCAATAATAACATTATGATTCTAAAAGAATCCTTGCATAAGACTGAAGAGAAAACTCTCATCGTAATCTATTCATTCTCTTTGTGTAAAATCTTTTGCTACAAGTCATGCTTTATATATTTCCACATTTCATTTGGAGTCAAATTTTGTCTTGTAGACCCTTTCACAGCCTACTGTTTTGGCTTCATTAGTAATTATTTCTAAGTCCCAAAACATCGTTGGTATTCTTCGAATTCATATCAACTTTCATAGCTTCTTGCCGTTTAAACGAGTAAACGCTTTTCATGGTTTCTTCAAATGAGGTGGGATCACCCTTCATTTGAATTTCTTTACTAACATAGACTTCAAAGTCATCAGAAAAACTGGTTTACTAATTCTTTGAGACCTTCTGGGGCCTCAGCTTCTGGTACTTTCATATGAGGTTGTTGTTGCCCTTCATTGCCAAGAGGCAATTGGTTCTACAGGCTCCTCTATCAAAGGATCATTGTTTACATTATTCATCTTCTACGAAGAGCCAACAACAGGTGTTGTATAAGTCATACAATATCAACAGGTATTAAGAAATTCGTTGTTTGAATCACTGAAGTGGGCACGCAGTCCTGATTCTCTTCAAGTCTTAGGTCTCTACATACCTCTACATACCATGCTCCTCCAGATCTTTCTATCTTTTCTAAAGATAGGGTATCTTCAAATATCTTATTTTTGGATTTAATCCGTTAAACTCTCATATGACGTTTTTAGCACGATCTTAACATTTTTGAGACTGACTACACTATTTTTCTGTCGGAACTTTAAAAGGTTCAGGAATTTAGCTATTTCTCTGTTTAGGGTTATCGTTGTTGTAACCGTTGTACTCCTCCAACGATTTTATCTTAATTAATCTTTATCCCACTCTTAATGAAAAATATCTTTTTTTAATTGATCTTAATATTCTCTCCCTCGAAATATGGCATGAACTTTACTGCCATAATTTCGATAAGTATTCAGAAAGCCTGTAAACGTGGAGACACTTATAACTTACTTCATTCACATGATTGTGTCATGTAAACAAAGTTATTTCTTGATCCGTTTAGGAGTACACTTTCCTTAATTCACTTTAAGAACTCAACGAGGTCTTTCATTAGCGGTACTTTTGCAAGTCACACTTGCATCTTTTTCTTATCCTTTGATTAGTATTTACCATGACGGTGCATTTCTATTGTGCCATGGTTAATACTAGGATAGCATAAGAGCTACCCAAACTTCTTTCGCTATGCGGGATACAAAAACATATGAATCGTCACAAAACTCCTCCCGCCATGCAGGATGGACTAGCATAAGTACTATGCAAAAACTTCTCCCCATGTGGGATACATCTATACGAAAACTTAGTCATGACGACTAAAACATTCACTTATACTTCATTTTCCAATTAAATCTTTTCGTTGGTTTCAATTTAATCAGAAAATTAGTAAACTAACAAAAATCTGTCCTGAACTGGCTTGACTCAAGCCTTTTCATTCACATACCCTAGCATTGCAGCCCGTTGGCTTGTAGCCGAGCGATCTCGTCGGTTAAAATAAAACATACAATATGCTTCTGCATCAATTCTACATCACCGTTGGACAGAAAATAGAATTAATGCATAAATCTCATAAATTAACTTGAAATCCATATAACTACTCTTCAAAATTAAATTATTCCATTGGTTCGAATTTAATTAGAAGATAATCAACTTCATTGCAGTGAAAACATGTTAATAAAATACATTCTATTAGTTCAGGAGTATTTCTTGTTCCTTATCTGCTTTCTGAAAATTTGACCACGTTGGTGTAAGATTTATCAGAGATTTAAACTTTGAACTTAAATTCATTATAATATGATCATCATCAACGTTGGTCAGAAAATGACAATACCATAATCTTACTTAAACAAAACGGACTACTCCTCTAATTTAAATTTTCCCATTGGTTCCAATTTAATTTGAGGATAAACATAATCATAATTCACTAAATATAACTGCTCTTCAAATTAAATTCTCCCGTTGGTTCGAATTTAATTGGAAGATATCAACATTGAACTTTGCAGCGAAAACTTAAGAACATAACTTGTGAACTTTACCCACAGGAAAAATTCTTTTGCTAATTTTCTTGAGCCATTAATCAATTTCCAGGAAATAAACATTTACTGGAAAAAGAAAAAAGAAAAACCGACTCATTTCTCTTACTGTCTTCAGCCCAACCAGCAAAGCGGCCCACGACCCACGGCCGCGCGCGCGCTCCCCCGCGCCCAGGACGCAACCTGGGCCTAGGTCGAAAGCCGGCTCGGCCGTTCGCAGCCGCTCGATCAAGATCGACGGCTCAGCTTCTTTTTCGCGTGAACAAAACCAGCAGTTGCAGTCGGCTCCCCCAAACCCTAGCTCAGTCTCACTCCCTCCCTTTCCTCTCTGACCGCCGCGACGGAGAGTAGAGCGCAGTGTGAGAGACCGGAGCCGAGAGAGAGAGAGAGATGGCGCCGTCGTTCGCGGCGGCGAGACCTCGCTCCCCCCCCGCACGGCCGGCCCCCTTTAACCCTAGCCTAACTCTCCTCCCTCCCCTTCTCTCACTTCAGCGCGCAGCGACCGAGAGCGAGAGCGCAGTGGAGTATGGCGCTGTCGCTGGCCGCCTCGTCGGCGCGCGCGCTCCCCAACAGGTGAGCGCGTCACCGTCGAGGGGCCTAGCCGCGACGCCCTTGGCCAGAGCCCGTGCAAGACCGACGAGTAGCTGCCCCTCTCGGCCTTCTTCTCTCGCGCCGGCGAGGCGGCAGCGTGGTGCACAGCGAGGTAGGCCTCTTCCCCTTTTCCCCTTCTTCTCCGCCTGGATCTTGCTTCGTTCTTCTCGGATTTGTCCGATTTGGGGATTACAGTTTGATTAGGGTTAGGGTTTCGCTCACTGTTCTTC